GAGTCCATTGGTCTGCAATACGACCTTCTGTATTTCCTCCTGTTTTCTACCTGACCCCATCTGCTTTACTATTTAGAAATTGTTGGGTTGGGTTGTTATGAGTTTTCTGGGTTGTATGGCCATGTTCTAGAAGCATTCTCTTCTGATGTTTCACTTCACAACCTCCGAGGACTCCTGACATAGATGTGGGTGAATCTTGGCCCCGCCTTTTAAATTTTTAATTGCCTTGAACAGGCAGGATTACTTTTAATATATGTCTGTTATGGCAACAATTTTTATGCTTATATTTTGTTTGTTAATCTTATGGTTATGTTGTTTTTACTCTGTATGTTTTATTATATTACTTGGGAACCGCTCTGAGTCCCCTCGGGGAGATGGATAAAGTATTATTATTATTATTATTATTATTATTATTATTATTATTATGCTTCTAGAACAGTGTTTCTCAACCTGGGGGTCGGGACCCCTGAGGGGGTCGTGAAGGGGTGTCAGAGGGGTCGCCAAAGACCATCAGAAAACACAGTATTTTCTGTTGGTCATGGGGGTTCTGTGTGGGAAGTTTGGCCCAATTCTATCATTGGTGGGTTCAGAACGCTCCTTGATTGTAGGTGAACTATAACTCCCAGTATCTACAACTCCCAAATGTCAAAGTCTATTTTCCCCAAACCCTATCAGTGTTCACATTTGGGCATATTGAGTATCCGTGCCAAGTTTGGTCCAGATCCATCATTGTTTGAGCCCACAGTGCTCTCTGGATGTAGGTGAACTACAACTCCCAAACTCAAGCAATGCCCACCAAACCCTTCCAGTATTTTCTGTTGATCATGGGAGTTCTCTGTGCCAATTTTGGTTCATTGGTGGATTTCTTTGATTGTAGGTGAACTATAAATCCCAGCAACTACAACTCCCAAATGACAAAATCAGTCTCCCCGCCAACCCCACCAGTATTCAAATTTGGGCATACCGGGTATTTGTGCCAAATTTGCTCCAGTGAATGAAAATACATCCTGCAGATCATGATTTACATGGCGATTCATAATGTTCAGGTTATGGTTGGGGGTCACCACAACATGAGGAACTGTATTAAGGGGTCGCGGCATTAGGAAGATTGAGAACCACTGTTCTAGAACATGGCCAAAAAACCCAGAAAACTCACAGCAGCCTTCCAGATTGTTGGGTGTTTTGTTCATAAACCCAGTGGCAAAACAATGAATGGTTTAGATTAAGAAGTAGGTGCTCCACTGGAGAACTGGGAGTTGATATGGAATCAAAAATTAAACTATACATATGCCTATGACTTGAAAGAGAATTGGACAAAAATGATGTACCAATGGTACATGACACCAAGAAAGATTGCCAAATTCACTAAAAATATAAATGAAAAATGTTGGAAATGTGGAAAGTGTGAAGGATCATTCCACCTCATGTGGTGGACATGCGAGATAGCCACAGCTTTCTGGAAACAAATCCACGAGATATGTCAAAAGATTTTAAAGAAAAATATTCCATTAAAACCAGAATTTTTTCTTTTAGAAATGACAAATTTACAACCAAACTCCAATGAGGATAAATTATTTATTTATATGACAATAGCGGCAAAAATTGTTCATACAAGGACTTGGAGACAAAAATAAAGACCTCAGAAAGAAGAATGGATAGAGAAAATGCTAGACATAATGAATATGGACGAATTGACTTTCCTGATTACGAAGATACAGAATAAATGGATCAAGAGGACAGACTGGACTTTATTTAAAAACTGGATTAAAGAAAATAAAATGAAACTACTAATATAAAATGGACTAGAAGCATTAAGACAGATAGAACCACCACAAGGAGAAAGAAGAAAGGTAAAATATGAAGAAACGAAGACAAAAAAAAATGAAGACAACCACTATGAAGAGACATGGAAGACCCCCCCCCATACCCAAAACCTTTCCTTCCCCTTTTTTTCCCTTTCCCCCCTATCCCTTACCCCTTTCCTTTTCCTACCCCCTGCTGTCCTTTTCATACCCTACCTTCCCTAAGACCCTTCTCTCCCTTTTTCCCTTCCCCTCCTGTTTTTATGTATTAAATTTTTTTCAATATTTTTAAAAAAAAAAAAAAAAGAAGTAGGTGCTCCAGTTAGAACTGTTTTTTCAAAAAAAAAAAACCATTTACAGGGTTGGGTTGCTGTGAGTTTTCTGAGTTTTTTGAAGGCTTTCATGGCCGGAATCACTGGGTTGCTGTGAGTTTTCCGGGCTGTATGGCCATGTTCCAGAAGCATTCTCTCCTAACATTTCTCCCACATCTATGGCAGACATCCTCAGAGGTTGAGGAAGTCTGCCATAGATGTGGGGAAAACATCAGAAGAGAATGCTTCTGGAACATGGCCATACAGCCCGGAAAACTCACAGCAACCCAGTGATTCCAGCCATGAAAGCCTTAGACAACACATTTACAAGGTTGCAAGATGTGGGGAGCTTGATGTTGGTACAGGCTTGCTTTTAATGTTGTCTCTTTGCAAGTATTAGCAGATTTGCTGTTCAAACTCCTTAACTTTGGAGAGTTTGACAAGCACAACGTGTACTCATGTGTTCAGTGTTGCTTACTTTATAGTTAGTGTGCTGAATCCAGGCTGAAGGCAGTCTTTATTTCTTGTTCATGGGAGGGCTCATGATCCTTGACTATACAGATAGGTTCTATAGGTTTGTTCTTAAGTTGAATTTGTATGTAAGTCAGAACAGGCACATTTCTAAGTGTAACTCCAGCCTATCTATTTACCTATCTAAGCTTTGGATAGCATAGGGAAGGGTTAACACCCCTGTGGAGTTTGTTTTGCTGCCTGTGCTCCTGTTCATATTTCACCTCACTTTCTGCCCTTGTGATTATTAGATTTTGAAAGAGATTGGCTTGTTGTGGAAACAAGGACTGGAGATAAAGCTTCAGTGGAGACACCTTTTTTCCCATTATAATAACTCTTTCAGGAGTGATCTTCCCTTATGAGTGGTAGATTTCTCTCGCTTCCTGTTGTCTCACCCCTGTTCTTAACTAGGAGTTGTTTTTAAGTTGGGGACTGCCTGTGCTTCAGATTGGGAGGGCTTGACTACTACAATGGAGGTTCAATGTCCCAATTTTACCACACCCAGCTGGTAAAAATGGACCAGTAAAACTCAGGCTTGGACTTCCTTGGCTCCTTCCACACATCTGAATAAAATCCCACATTATCTGCTTTGAACTGGAATATATGGCAGTGTGGACTCAGATAACCCAGTTCAAAGCAGATATAGTGGGGGTTTCTGCCTTGATATCCTGAGTTATAGGGCTGTGTGGATGGGACCCTTGCTTTGGGGAGTTCAGGTCTCTCCATCTCCCCTGTTCCAGAAAATTGTCCCACAAAGAGAAGTTACCAGAGACTGCCTTAGGCTTTGTAAATCAAAGCCACTTACAAGCTATGAAGCCCTGTACACCTTGCCTTTCTCTGAGGCTGAGAGAGTGTGACTTGACAAGGGTCACTCTCCAGTGGGTTTGGATCTGAACCCCGGTCCCCAGAGTCCAAAGAGAGTGCCTTTCAGAGAGGTTTCCAGCCTCCTTCTGAAGCCAGGAAGGAGTCACAGCAACCGGGCTCCTGCTTGCCCTGGAGGGGGGCCTGCCAGGCCAGCTCCTCTCCCTCCTCGTCCCCCTCCCGCCCTGGGCTCTGCCCTGGGAAAAGAAGGGCTCTCGGTGGCAAAGGGCTGCCAGGTGGGCAGGACGGGCAACAGGAGGTCGGGATCGGGAGGCTGGCACTGAACTGCAAGGGGAGGAGAAAAGAAAAGAAGGGAGAAAGAGTAGGAGGAGAGGAAGAAGAGAAAGGAGGAGAGGGAGAAGAGGAGGAGAGGGGAGAAAAAGGAGGAGAGGAAGAAGAGAAAAGAGGAGGAGAGGGGAGAAGAAGAGAGAGAGGAGGAAGAAGAGGGGAGAAATAGAGGAGAGGAAGACGAGAGGAAGAAAAGGAGAGAAAGAAGAGGGGAGGAAGAAGAGGGGAGAAAAAGGGGGAGGAGAGGAAGGAGAGGAGGAGACGGGAGAAAAAGGAGGAGAGGGAGAAGAGAAAAGAGGAGGAGAGGGAGAAGAGGAGGAGAGGAGGAGAGGAGAAGAGGGAGAAAAAGAGGAGAAGAAGAGAGAGGAGAAAAAAGAGAAGAAGGGAAGAGGGGAGAAAGAGGGGGAGGAGAGGGAGAAGAGGAGGAGAGGGGAGAAAAAGGAGGAGAGGAAGAAGAGAAAAGAGGAGGAGAGGGAAACGAGGGGAGAAAGAAGAGGAGAGGGGGAAGAGGAGAGGAGAAAGAGGAGGAGAGGAAGAAGAGGGGAGAAAAAGAGGAGAGGAAGAAGAGAAAAGAGGAGGAGAGGGAGAAGAGGAGAGAAAGAGGAGGAGAGGGAGGAGAGGAGAAGAGAGGAGAAAGAGGAGGAGAGGAAGAAGAGGGGAGAAAAAGAGGAGAGGAAGACGAGAGGAAGAAAAGGAGAGAAAGAAGGGGAGAAAAAGGAGGAGAGGAAGAGAGATGAGGGGAGAAAAGGGGGAGGAGAGGGAGAGAGGAGGAGGGGGAGAAAAAGGAGGAGAGGAAGAAGAGAAGAGGGGAGAAAGAGGGGGAGGAGAAGGAGAAGAGGAGGAGAGGGGGGAAAGGAGGAGAAGAAGAAGAGAAAAGAGGAGAAAGAGGAGGAGAGGAAGAAGAGGAGAAGAGAGGAGAAAGAGGAGGAGAGGAAGAAGAGGGGAGAAAAAGGAGGAGAGGAAGAAGAAAAGAGGAGGAGAGGTAGACGAGCGGAGAAGGGGAGAGGAAGAAAAGGAGAGGAAGAAGAGAAGAGGGGAGAAAGAGGAGGTGCGAAGGGAGAAGAGAAGAGGGGAGAAAGAGGAGGGAAAGAAGAGAAAGCAGAAGGACAGGGAGGAGAGAAGACGAGAGGAAGAAGCGGAGAGGAAGAAGAAGGAAGAGAAAGAAGAGAAGAAGACGGGAGGAGAGGAACGCGAGGAAAAGAGGAGAGGAAAAGGAGGAAGAGGGGAGGAGAAGGAGGAGGAAAAGGGGAGGGCCCAGTGGGGAGGGAGAGGTCAGGTTGGTGCTGCTGCTGCTGCTGCCGGTCCTCTTCCCTCCTTCTTGAGGAGCTCCATCCATCCTTCCGAGGCAGACCTGCCTGACCACCCGCCGGAGGAGGAGGAGGAGGAGGAGGTGGGAGGAGAGGCACTCCAGCCGGGACCCACCTCCGCAGCCCTGCCGGCTCCTTCCACCTGCTCTCTCCGCGGGGCAGAGTCCCTCTCCTCCTCCTCCTCCTCCTCCTCCTCCTCCTCCTCCCCTTTGAAGCCATGCCGGGGCTGCGCCGCGACCGCCTGCTGCTGCTGCTCCTCCTGGGACTGCTGCTCTGCGCCGACCTCTACTTCCACCTCTGGCCGCAAGTGCGGCGCCGATTAGCCCCGGAGCCCGAGGGGGAGACCCGCTGCTCTTGCCCAGGAAAAGGAAAAAGAGAAGGAGGAGAGGGTAGCGTTTCTACGGCTACTTCTTCTTCGCCCGCAGCCTCGCAAGCGCCGCCGCCGCTGCCAGATGGGACGGAGGAGCCCCGGCATTCGCGCTCCAAGCTGCGCCGCCTCTTCGCGCACCCGCTCTACAGCGGCCCCCAGTGGCCGGCCGAGGAACTGCTCAGCGGGCAGGAGGCGCTGCGCTACTACAGGAGGAAGGTGGCCCGCTGGAACAGGTGATTTGGGGAAAAGAAATCATACCAAAAAGGGGTGTGTGTGTGTGTGTGTGTGTGTTCACACCCTATCTGAGAGAGGGAGCGGGAAAACACCCCATCCATCCTTAACCGCAGAGATAAGGAATCCCAACCCCATGCTCAGGCTCTCCTTCCCCATCTCCCCTTTTCCCCAATTTCTGGGAAATCCCAGAATTCCTGACCATTGAATAAGCTGGGAGTTGGAGGCCCAAACAACTGGAGGATGGCTGAGTCTATATACTGTAATGGATGCTGTTTGATATCCCTTTAAATCCGGGGAGCGGGGTGAGCTCCCACTGTTAGCCCCAGCTTCTGCCAACCTAGCACTTCGAAACCACTGGATTATCAAAGCAGATAATCTACATTGTTGACTATGAACTGGATTATATGAGTTCAAAAACAAGCAAATGTGAGTAGATCAATAGGTACCGCTCCAGCGGGAAGGTAACGGCGCTCCATGCAGTCATGCCGGCCACATGATCTTGGAGGTGTCTACGGACAATGCTGGCTCTTCGACTTAGAAATGGAGAGGAGCACCACCCCCAAGAGTCAGACACAACTAGGCTTAATGTCAGGGGAAAACCTTTAGCTTTACTCTTAAACTGCCTTAGTGCAAGGCTGTGAGATTTGTTTGAAGAGCACAGTTTACATACCCTCTTGACTCTGGACGGTCAGAACACTTTAATAATAATAATAATAATAACTAAAGCTGGTCCCAGTGATGATTGGCACACTGGGTGCAGTGCCTAAAGACCTTGGCTTGCACTTAAAAACAATCAGCACTGACAAAATTACCACCTGGCGTGTGATCTAATACAACAGCCAGCATAGCAATCTTGTTTACTGTGTACTAATCTTATTATGTATCTAATAATGATAATGATAATAATAATAACAATAAGCTGACATAATATAAGGATTTAAAGATCGAACTGCAAAGACTCTGGCACAAACTAGTAAAGATGGTCCCAGTGGTGATTGGCACACTGGGTGCAGTGCCTAAAAATCTTGGCCTGCACTTAAAAACAATCAGCACTGACAAAATTACCACCTGTCAGATGCAAAAGGCCACCTTAATGAGATTTGCGCATATTATTTGCCGATACATCACACAGTCCTAGACACAGTCTGACGTGTGATCTAATACAACAGCCAGCATAGTGATCTTGTTTGCTGTGTACTAATCTTGTTATGTATCCAATAATGATAATGATAATAATAATAAGCTGACATGACATAAGGATTTAAAGATCGAACTGCAAAGACTCTGGCACAAACCAGGAAAGGTAGTCCCAGTGGTGATTGGCACACTGGGTGCATTGTCTAAAGACCTTGGCCTGCACTTAATAACAATCAGCACTGACAAAATTACCACCTGTCAGCTGCAAAAGGCCACCTTACTGGGATCTGCACAAATTATTCGTCGATACATCACACAGTCCTAGACACAGTCTGACGTGTGATCTAATGCAACAGGCAGCATAATGATCTTGTTTGCTGTGGACTAATCTTGTTATGTATCTAATAATAATGATGATAATAATAATAATAATAAGCTGACACGATATAAGGATTTAAAGATCGAACTGCAAAGGCTCTGGACAAACCAGTAAAGTTGGTCCCAGTGGTGATTGGCACACTGGGTGCAGTGCCTAAAGACCTTGGCCTGCACTTAAAAACAATCGGCGCTGACAAAATTACCATCTGTCAGCTGCAAAAGGCCACCCTACTGGGATCTGCACACATTATTCTCCGATACATCACACAGTCCTAGACACTTGGGAAGTGTTCAACGTGTCATCCAATACAACAGCCAGCAGAGTGATCTTGTTTGCTGTGGACTCATCTTGTTATGTATCTAATAATAATAATGATCATAATAATGATAAGCTGACACGATGTGAGAATTTAAAGATCGAACTGCAAAGACTCTGGCACAAACCAGTACAGTTGGTCCCAGTGGTGATCAGCATAGTGGGTGCAGTGCCTACAGACCTTGGCCTGCACTTAAACACAATCGGCGCTGACAAAATTACCATCTGTCAGCTGCAAAAGGCCACCCTACTGGGATCTGCACACATTATTCTCCGATACATCACACAGTCCTAGACACTAGTCCAATGTGTGATCCAATACAACAGCCAGCAGAGTGATCTTGTTTGCTGTGGACTCATCTTGTTATGTATCTAATAATAATAATAATAATAATTTATATCCCTCTACCTTTCTTTAATCTTAATCTTAATCTTATACTATTTATCTAAAGTTATTGACTCACTCGTACCCTTTTCCTGCGAGATCTTTTTTTAATCTCTTTTTTATTTTCATTATTAAAGAAAAATGTATTTTGCATTTTAACCCAAATAAAGATTTTTTTAAAAAAAAAATTATTCCCCACCATCATCTCCCCAAAGGGACTCAGATCAGCTCACAGAAAGCACACAATAGTGCCACAACAAGCAGCATACATTTACATACATCAACATACATTTGCATAAAAACAACATACATTTACATAAAACAGCATACTAATATAAACCCCACCAATTTTTAACCGACATGGCAGCCATAAAAACAAAGTTTCTGTAGGTTTTTTTGGGGGGGGGGGGTTGGTTGTGTCAGGAGCAACTTGAGAAACTGCACGTCGCTTCTGGTGTGAGAGAATTGGCCGTCTGCAAAGATGTTGCCCAGGGGATGCCCAGATGATTTCATGTTTTTTATCATCCTTGTGGGAGGCTTCTCTCATGTCCCCGCATAAGGAGCTGGAGCTGATAGAGGGAGCTCATCCGCCTCTCCCCGGATTTGAACCTGCGACCTGTCGGTCTTCAGTCCTGCCAGCACAGGGGTTTTACCCACTGCGCCACTGGGGACTTCAGTTTCTGTAGTAGAACAACTACTTTCAAAGTAATTACCACACAATTAAACAGGAAGTAATACTTTCAAATCAGGAACAGACCTTTTTTCAAATTTTTGTTACATAGTGTTATTGGCATTGCACTGTGACAGTTAAAGTGGTGTCAAACTACATTATTTCTACAGTGTAGCTCAGCATTAATGGCCCAATCATGGGATTCAGTTTTGGTAAGGAACCCTCTTTGGCCTTCCTTGAATGCCCTCCTGAAGCTGGGATGCCCAGGTTTCCTGGGCTCCTTTACTGGAGAGCTAGCCTTGTTGACCTCTCTCGGGGATGCCTGGTGGTATCCTATCCTGCAAAGGCGCCCCGAGCCAGCTTCCCTGCCTTTCAGATGAATCAGATCACTGTCCATATCTTCCTGGTTTGTGTGCGAGGCTGTTCTGAACCCCAGGCGCTTTTTCAGGTGATAAATAATGCTTAACTCTAGTCTGTCTGGAGCTCCGCTTGCTGATTCCTGGCAACCAGGTTGCAACCAAGAAGCGCACTCAGATAGCCATTTGCTCTCATGTGTTGACAACCAACCTTACAAAAAAATGAGGGGCAGTGCTTCTTCTTGCTATCCATGGTTCCTTACAATTCAGGTTCTTTGTTGAACTGCAGGAGCAGTAGTTTTTAACCTCAGGGTCCCCAAGTGTTTTGGCCTACGGCGCTCAGAAATCCCAGCCAGTTTACCAGCTAATAATAATAATAATAATAATAATCTTTATTTATACCCCGCTATCATCTCCCCGATGGGGACTTGGAGCGGCTTACATGAGGTCAAGCCCAAACAACAAATTACAACAGAGTAAAACTGAAAACGCAAACCGAAAACACGAACAATAAACAACAACATCATAATTACATAAAACATGTGAACACATAACAATATAAAATTACAATAAGCACAAACACAGTGACAATGGACGGGCTACATGTAATGATTAAAAGAAAAACTAATTAGAAACTCGGGCGAGATAAAAGAGAAGCAGGTTATTCACGGAGGATTTCTGGGAGTTGAAGGCTAAAACATCTGACGACCCACAGGTTGAGAACCACTGCTCTAAGTGCCAACTTAAGTTATTTTGCTGACTGAGGCAAAGGGAGTCTAAAGTGCTTTAATTGTGTGTTCCTGTATGGACGAATGGGGTTTGATTGGATGGCCGTTGGGATCTCTTCCAACTCTAAGGTTCCATCTATACTGTCATATAAAATCCAGGCTGTCTGCTTTGAACTAGATTATATAGCAGTGTAGACTCAGACAATCCAGTTCAAAGTAGATAATCGGGATTATATGGCAGTGTAGATCCAGCCTAAGATGCCATGAGTGCCAACCGGACTGGAAGTTGGCTGATGATGGGATAAATCACAATAACCTCAGTTGGAGAGGATAAGCGATATGTTCCATGGTGCAAACAGTGTGTGCTCTAATTCAGAAAAATTGTTGAGAGGTTCAGGTGGAATGGGAAAAGGGGACACATGCCACTTGTGCCAACAAGGGCACTTTGCCTAATGAAGGAGCCAACATTAGATCCTGATCCAATCTGGCTTAGGGCACCACTGTAACACTGAGGTTGTTTTCCTGTGGATGGACATCCGAAGTCAAGAGCTGCTTCAGTGAGGCTGTCTCTGCAGGTGTGACATAATAGGCAATTCCAAAGCCAGCCCACCACAAAGGCTGCTAAGGCTTTGGAAATGTCTCCCTTAAAAGCATTACCCAAAAAGATAAACATTGGGTAGCTGAGGAAATGCAAGACAGACAAAGGAGACAAGCAAACAGATCTCCCATGTGACTGATTTCACTATAAAACCATTGCATCTGGCAATTAAAGAGCTCCAAATGTTTGGGATGGGGTGCAGAAGTTGAAAAAAACACCCTTTTTTACTATAACTCTCAGAACCCTCAGCTAATATGGCCAATAAGAGCTGTTGTCCAAAAGCCACTTTCCCAAGCATTAAATAAGATCCTATTTGGACTGAAGGAGTGATGCTAGGAGTGTGATTTAACTCTTCCCAACCTGTTTCCCCAGTCAAAGTTGTTATTATGTGAAATTTGGAAAGAGTGGGGACTATGTAGGCAGAGCTGGAT